GCGCCTTCGGCCTTCTAACTTTTTTCCCTTACGTACACCTTCAAAAAACTCACGCTACGTCCCTACAATCTATTATACGAATCTCGAAAACTTGCCTTTCAAGACGGTTTCTGGAGTCGATTTTTCAAGTTCGCCATTATCAACCTGAAACTTTCATTGTTCAGATATGAGCAATTGAACGTCTTACTATTTTGAAAATACATGCTCGGGAAAGTGCCATAACCTCTGTGTCATCCATAACGGAATTTCTTAATGCAAATGGACCTGATTCATTGAGTGAGACTGCAACAGTTTCAGTGAAACAGATATTATAGTTATGCCTGCCACAAATGGGTGAAAGTTCTCTCAGTGCCTAAAAAAGAATCAAGAGTTACCTTAGGTCTATCATGACGCAAAAAAAAAAAAAAAAGAAAAAAAGGATTAACAACCTTTTGCGCGCTGATATCTATATACAAGGAATACCGGAACAAATTGATGTTGCTAACGACTTTTACACTTAAAACTCTCGCAGGTTGTCAAAATATGGACACTTTTCAGAAGTCGACCTACGTAAAAACATTTAGCTACTTATTAGTACTGATGGAAACCACTATATTTTCAACTACGGTGGACATATTGGTTTATAAAAATTCCATAACCTCCACTGCAGTAACCTAGCAATTTTGAGTGGACATTCGGAGCGCGGACACCGACCGGTCCCTTTTTTTCTATCGTCTGGTACAGTCTGTCTATAATATCTGTACTATACTAGCAAATTGTCGTTATTTCAGACTAGGTATTCAAATGCCTGTAACTTCCTTACAGTATACTTTGAAATCGCTGCAGTTTCTAATATTTGCCGGAAGGACATTAAATAACTTGGCAGCAGAGTCTTGAAAAGTGCCCCTCTCCATTGGCATAATTAATCTTGTTGCCGCTCCTGACCACAAAGATCGCAGATGTTTAACTGCATCTAGTGGTACGTTAGACGGCCAGCTGGGGGAGTACAAAGCCTGGTGAACGAGTTTGAGAACGTGGAAATCTCTTCGCTGTCTTACTGGTAACCACCCTATCTTAATAATATCGTTTATGTCATTTATATACCTATTAAGGACAAAACTAGCAGCTACTAGCTGGACAGGTTGTAAACGTTTTAGTTGAAATTCCGGTAAAGAGTAATAGACAGTGTCACAATAGTCAAGTTTTGACAGCACCAGTGACTCCACTAAGTGCTTTCTGAGTCTATAACCATCAAAGTTCTTAAGTTTTCTTATCATTTGTATTGTCCCGTAACATCTCTTGCACGTTGCTTGCACGTGCTCATCCCATATAAGATGACGGTGGAAATGGACACCAAGAAGCTTACTTACATTTACATATTCTAATGTACTATCTGAGATTGTAATAGCTGTTTGATTCTTATCTAAACTTTGTACACGTGACATCTGGCTTGTGGATAGCAACATCGTCTTTGTCTTCTTCGAATTAAGTGCTAGATGGGAGTCATTAGACCAGGTCCTCACAGTGTTTAGTGTGGAGTTTAGTTCTTGCGCACATCTTTGTAGCTCAGGAGCTGGACAGCTGAAGTATATTGTAGTATCATCAGTGTATTGAAATGAACCAATCGCGGACGGGAGATGATCTTGCAGATCAGAAACGTAGAGATTAAATAACATTGGGCCGAGGATCGACCCTTGAGGCACACCGAAACGTACGTTTACTAATTCAGATGTGCAATCATCGATCTCTACGAAATGCCATCGGTGACTCAAGTAGCTATTCCACCAGCGCAGAAACGGCTTCGAGAAACCAAGTGTTGATAAGAACCTTGTAGCTAGCACCATGAGAGTAACCTCACCTTTGCACAAGATAATCTTCGCACAATATACAATATAATCTGTACAGTATGGGTCGCACACATGAAGAAATTTGTCTACTAAAACACGAGTTAAGTTACCAATGTGACTCGCTGACTGATGAGAAAAGGGTAGTAGGAGTGGGGCGGGGGGGGGGGCGGGGGTGTTGGAGGAGGATTGACCACTTTACCGTCGATAATACTGAGTGAATAACACAGCGCAATTCCCCCTTCGATTTTACAGAATATGTTGTTAGGGCTAAATTTTAACCTCTCAAGTCTGTTTAAATCCCTATCTGGCCCTTAGCTAGCCCACACAGCCGTCTTTCCTCGCTCCTTATCACTAGCCCGGATGTTTCGCCAGGAAGACGAAGAGAGACGGCTGTCATGCAGGCTACTGATGATCCTTTGCTTGTAATTTCCATGATGGCGTTGCTGTTTTACCTTTTTTTTCCCGTTAACATTGTACCTTACCGAAAACATTAGAAATGGGTAACATATATTCTAACCATTTGCATTTTCTTTCGTATTTACTAAAATGTCCTGTGGATAAAGCAGGAAATAGCTTTTCCGAGTTCGAAAATTTAAAACTTTTCTGCGGAGTACGTCCCCATGCAGACCCCCCTACTTTGGAGCGCCTTCGGCCTTCTAACTTTTTTCCCTTAC